ATAGATGTTGAATGTGCCCGGAGAGGAAAAGGACCCATTAAAACTTCCCTGGTCCGGAATCAAGTGCCAGAGCTGCAGTTTCCAGCTATGGCTGCTAGCTTAAGATGATGGGGCTAGAACTGGCATCAAGTCCTGCTAGAACGATCCCTATCCTATTGATTTAAAATAGGTCAGGAAGGCAAATTTGTTTTGCAGCGGTGCAAGTCCCAGGCCAAGAATGATGCTCTGCACAAAACAGTCCTGGTCTATGAGTAGTAGCTCTGAGAACTTTGATAATATAAATAAATACATACTAAGAACTGCAGAAAAGTCTCACTCAAGCAACATATTTTAAACAAGTTTACAGCTTTTTCTCCATACAATATGCTTTCCCAAAATATTGGCACTGAAAACTGCTCGACTTCCTATCTAAACCCAAACCAGACCTCATTTCTGTTCTTCTGTAAGTCTAGTCCCATGAAATTTCAGCAAGAGCTTTCTTTAGTGTGGTTTGCTCCAACCTGACTCCAAAAATGTAGCTGAAAGTGCACCAAAATTCGCCTTTTTCAAGACTTCTTAAAATGCCTCTGATGCTGTAATTGCTGGGAGCATTCTGAGAGCATGAATGTTCAGACTCAAACTCTGCCAGCCCAGCAGAGTGAAGACTTTTTTTTTTTTTTTTGATTCTTGCTACATTTTGGATTTAACATTTGCTTTCAATGCCAGAAGACATTAAAATACATTTTTTTATAGAGGAGTATGCAGCTACAAATACTCTAGATCTGCTAACATTTTTAAAAAGATCCACTGGATCTAATCCTACCAGCTTGCTTCTGGTCTAAATCATCACTGACTTCTCTGGAAGATTTTTTAGATTAAGTTCTACAGCACCAGAAAATCCATGTGCAAAAAAATATAGAAAGCGCAAAAGATGTCTTCATTTTGATATGAACAGAAGGTTTGCAAATTAATTCCATGTGCCTAATAACTTTCAAAATTGTTTAAAGGTGGAGTTTAAATAAGCAGCCAAGTTTTCAGCAGATGCTCCGGGATGCCTGATGCTTGACGCTCCTGAAAATCTGTCTATCCATTCAGATGCTGAAATACAGATGTAGGCATCCACTATAGTAATGAATCATTTTTGGGGAAAAAAAAAAAAAAAAAAAAAAAGAGCCTAACATTCGCTTATAATAGACTAGAAACTGAAAAAAAATTGTGGTGGAATTTTTGTTTTCTTTTTTTTTTCTTTTTTCTTTTTTCTTTCTCCATTCGAGTTGCCTTTTTTTCTTAAGATGAAGAGGATTCACTTTCATTCTTTTTCTACACAGGTACATTTATTATTGAAGAAGAACCATCATGTGCTCAGTGTGATTAAAAAAAGAAATGTAGGCCTTGCACTCAGGTAGCTCACAAGAGAAAAGAAAAACCCCAGGAGATGCCATGGGGGATAGTACTTGCTTCCACCACCTCTTAAAGGCATAAAAGCATCTTCTTTCCTATTTCTGTTGTGCTCTATTATGGACGATGTTTCTCCAGCACAGGCAGAAGAAGAACACCTTAAATTTCTAATATATGATCCTGGTTTAATATGTGTGCATGTGTATGTGTTTGTGTATGTAATATCTGTAATATACATACATTTTAAAGGGATGTTTTACAACCTTGTGATTTCAGAAAAACTTGATTAATGGCTCACTTTACAATATTGGCATAGTAAAGGATTTCTGTAAGTTAGACTTTTGCACTTTTCCAAAAGCTGTGTTTGGAACAACATCACTATTTTATATTAAATTTAAAGATGAAACCAGTGGCGGACTACCATATGTATCAAATCTGAAGTAGCTGAATGCCCATTTTCAGATGCTTGTAGCTACTGTTACAGAAAACTGAATTCAGCTGCATCCTTGAAATTGCTTTTGAAATTTCTTTACAAACATAGAAAAAGACTTACTCTATCAAAATATTCGTCTCATGTTCCAAATACTTATATTTTGAAAACCTCAACACAACAGAAATTATATAAAGAATTCTTATTTGACATATTAAAGACACAACGTTTTACATTTCATTACTGCTTTCTTGACTGTGTGTCACAATTCTGTAAAGATCAGGTTCTCGTGCTGAATTGGGAATGTCTTCACTGGGATGAATCTATTGTCTCCCAGCTGAGTTTGGTGGTTTCAGTTTGTAGCCTGCTAAAAAGTAGGAAGTTCTGCTTAAAAAACTGCAACAAACAAAAAAACCTCGTACAGCAATCTCTGCAGAAAAGAGCCCTCTGAACACAGGCAAGGATCACACAGATTTTCCATCCAAGCCAACAAGGGCGCTCTGAAGATGCAAAGAGCAGCTGGCAGCACATTGCAACAGCCTGTCAAAAGAGGCTGCACCCATTCTTCGATCACCTGAGCTGCACCCCTTAGTTGAATATTTGTCTTCAAATCAAGAAAAGAAAGAACCAAAGGATGTTTTGTACACAGGAGCTTGACAGTCACAGAGTAGTTATGGGGAAAATTCACAAAAAATCGCCATGTAAACACTTCTTCTGCTTCCCAAGTCAAAATTGCTTTTGGTGCAGTAAATGAAATCTATGCTATGTCTACTATATATCTACATACTATCAGGTAGCATGTACATAGCATTATTTCACCTATCAGTTTACTGGATTAGCCAAGTCACTGTCATATGTTGTTGTAACTGATGCGATATTTTGGAAGAAAAGAGAAATTTTGCTCCATGTTTTTGCCTTAGGTAAAAACCACCGAACATCTGTATACTCTAACACTTATTTTACAAAGCATGTTTAGCGACTCAGAAAAAAAAATAATCCAGATTTGCAGAAGGAGTTCCCTTTATCATTCAAAATATTTGTCAGCTTTAATATTAACCTACTGAAGTTTTTGAAATTGAAGTCTTACAAATGCGTAAGACACACATATACATACGTGGAGTACACACGCTACTCGCTAACAATTTTCACTTAATATGTTAACTAGAAATTGACTGTGACTTTCATGATATTTTCTCCCCTGTATGTTAAGTCAATGACCTATTTAAGTATGTTGGCAGCAATTTATGTGTCTTGTGACTTTATATTTCACAAAGAAATGCTGTTTTGTGTTATTTACATTAAAAAGACATACTATGTAAAACTTAACCTTTGTTAAAAATCACTTTTTCCTATGTATTTAAATTATTTCGTGCTTTCAAAAGGCACAATTAAGTATCTAATGAGAACTTCCATTCAATGTTACACATAATACAAAAAGAGAAAAAATGTTTGAGACATCAATGATAATATTTTAAATATATTGGCATAGGAAAGTAGATGTCTTTTTGCTTTATTAAACTGACAGTTCAGTTCTGAAACTTTATTTTGAAAAGACTTAAAAAGGATTTGTGTCTTTAGACATAAAAAATATAACAGGCATATCTAAAAAATATAGAAGAGAAAACCTGATTGTTACTACTAATGAAATAGCTGATGACAAAATAGTAGTCTTTTTGATTTTGATCACAAAAAATAAACTGGTAGTGACAGGATATGATGGATAGATTTGACATCCTGGCAAATCACTGTCATTGATTCAATTATTCTAATTCAGAATAAAAGCTGTATACAGTATGTGTTTATGCTACAGTGGAGTTTTTTAAGTGATTGACATTCATCATATTAGTTAGACAGTTTTAAAAGCTATGTCTTTGTTTTACACAGCGTTGTCAAGAAAAAAATAAAGTAGAACCTGGATTGCAGAGAAAAAAGCAAACCACTTAACCAACTCTTGGTTCCAAATCCATCAAAATAAGTTACCATTATTGCATCCTATTAACACGTTCTTTGAAGAGTCAATTTCACTCCAGCCATGTAATACACTATTATAAAGACTAAATTATGAAACTGTAATGCAATCTTACAGCTGGGTGGCTTGGAAGTTCTGCGGAGAAGAAGATACTACCTTTCAAAATGGAAGTCAGCCTCAGAAGAAAGAATGCAAACCACCCTAACTTACAGGTCAGCTTTGCTTTACCGTTCTTTTGTTTGATGAGATATACACAGAGATACATACAAAATAGTTAGAAGTTCACAAATTGTGTATCTGAGGGTACAGAAGCCTGAATTACTTGTATATTCTGCCCTGCTTTAGACCAGCATGCTGTGATACCCTTCCCCGAGCTCAAATGCACTCTTCTGGTTTTCTAGCATTAATGTAGCTGTCGGTTTGAATTTCAATCTTGAATTATGTCTGTTGACATAATTTCATAGTGCTGACTTCAATTGTTTAGGATTACAGTTTTGCACCACATAAGGAAATAAATTCTTTTCTCTATGGTTAGTAAATTCCATTCAAGTGCATTTTATTGCATGTAGTAAGCCATAAGGCAAAGTAATTATCTATAATATATTCTGATTCAAAAAACAACCGTTCTCAATTACTGGCATATTAGAATAAAAACTATCTTATATATTTTAAATTTATTCTTGCACATTTAATAAACTAATGTAAATATTTCCTGAAATTTAAGAATGGTATTTCAATTACAAAAATTAATGTTTTTAAAGCCATCACTCTGTAGTTTGCTTTTGGAATAACATGTGACAATGAATTGCTTAGTTTCATTCCTTTATTTCAATAAACCGTCCAACTTAACTTATTATTCATACAAAATATTAAATATAGGTATATAAAAATTCCATTGGGAAAAATATCCCTTTATTTTTATTGTAAAAAAACATGTAGAAATGAAAGGGTAAGAGTAGTTTTCATATTTTAAGGAAAGGAACAAAATACTATATGTTTCCAGTCGAGCAGAACAATGGCAGGACCCAACATAACAGAAGCTTTAACAAAAAGCAAAATCCAAACAAGCCCAAAATTAGTACAAAGAAACCAGAACAAAAAAAAAAAAGGCACCATGTGATAACATGTATTTTTAAAGACTGCTGCGTCAAATTGTTAAGAAAAATATTTATATAAGTCATTAACACTCATAATTAGAGTGTCATATAAAACTGAGTGAAACTGCTAAGTAGAAAACACTAGAAGTCCAGGTGCTTCTTGCCGATGGCCATAGCACCACATCCTGAGCTCAGCAGTTTGGCGGATTCTGCCAGATCCTGTTTGCTTGTGCGGCTCACTGTGTCTGACAAGTCTGGAGGCAAATGCAGTCGCTGTGGCAGGAGATTTTCAGGAGGGAGAGGGAGAGAGAGATGGGGAGAGAGAGAAGAAAGAGAGAAAGGAAAAAACAGGGAAGAAAAAAAAAGAATAATTGCAGCAGAATTTATTTTCCATAGCATATTTCGAAATGCAGTCTTTTTCCTGACCGATCAGTGTTTACTCATGCAAATAAAACACTTCCCAGACACTCTTTTAGGCTGACCTGGAAACAGTTTTGCATGTTTTCAATATATTGGATTCTGTAAATTGGAATAATTTTTTCCTCGTGAAAATTTTCTAAACAAAATCCAAATTTGCTCAAGGTATTTAATTATATCTATGGGCATTTTTCCTTTAAAAACAAGTGTTTTGCCTGTATGTCAACCCCTACTTCAAATCCTTTGATTTCTATGGCATTACAATAAAAGTACAGTTTTATTTCAAACATGCATACTTTGTGGCAGAGTCTGACAATAAATGATGTGATGGTCAAAAGATGGAGAGGGCTCACCCTGGTTGCAGCATTATTCTGCTAAATGTTTCTTCTTCATATTCTACTGATAGTTGTTAATAAAACCAAGCAGTGATAGTAGTTGCATTTGTATAAGGCAATCATATATGCTAATCAAACCTTGCCATCCCTTGTGAGTTGTAGGAACATTACATCCATTTTACAGATGAGGAAACTGAGACACAGGTTACACGGTTGTCCACAAGCACACAGTCCTTGCATAATAAACCTTATTTTTCAAATATGACAAAAATATTTCAACTCTCCCTCTGAGGATCTTTTACAGTGGAGATATATAAAAGACATGACATTACCATTTAGCTTTTGTAAAGTAAGGTGAAAATTAATGTAAAACTGAGGCTTTACTTGCTTAATTACTGGCTCGCTTTTGGACACAGTGAGTACTGAAAGCCAGTCAGATGAGACAGTTGAGCATCTTCTACACAGTGCAATAATTTATGAAACTGGTATCATGGAAGGAGCATATTTCTTGAAAGATTTAGTAGTCAAAGGCTAAACTGTGTAGCTCTTCTTTTAAAATGCATACGCTTCTGAAGGGAACAGGATAACAGTAATGGCTGCAAAACTGTATTAGGAGGCTGTGTGAACTATCCTTATTCTCTGCTTTTGCTGTGTTTTTGCTTTTATCACAACACGCAAATACAGCTGCCTTTTATGCAACACCTTTGTAACTTTCGTAGGATAAGATAAGAATTCAATTAAAAAGCATAAGAAATATCTGTATTTACAGTGAGCTGACTGTTCAATTCATTGCTGGCATTGCTGACACTGTGCAATTAGGCATAACTTGAGAGTGCCTCCAAAGTGCTTCCTACCACCGGCCACTCCTGGTTGTGGGCAGCACAGGGAGAAGAACGTGTGCTGAGTTGTTGTCTTCTCCAAGGGAAGGAAATGCATAAAGTAACGCATGTAGAGTAGGAAAGCCTGTGCCCAGGGTGAGATGACATGCCTCAGTGTTGAAATAGGAGAAATGTGTGTATTTATTTGTAGCACTTTGCCTATGAAGCACAATTTATGTATCAAAACCCATGCCCGGTATATACCATTTAGTAACTATGCAGCTCTTACATTTCACCGTATTAAAATCAGTGCTGTGGTATGGCATCCTTCACTTACAGTTCCTCTCTTATTCCTAAGAAGGTTAAGCATGGTTGTGGATATGAACTGTGGTCCATGATGCCTCATTTCTACACCAACACAATATAAAATAGGGCATGTGCCTATCTTGTTTGTCTACTGAGAAAAACGTTTGCTAGGAAAGAGGCAATGTACAACTTGGATTGTACGGGGGGGGTGGTGTAACCACTGGAAAAGGAAGGATGAAGAGAAGCTGGAAAGTGCAGGGGAGCACTCGGCAGATCTTTCAGTCACATTTTCTTTCCAAAAAAGTGTAAAAAAGTGTACAGTACTCTGCTAGCAGGGTACAGGGTATCTGCTATGTGGGAGGTGGAGAGACAAGTGAACTAATCCAACCTTCTCCAACTCACTGTTAGCATCTCTCGCCCTCACCGGGGAGCAGGAGAGGCGGCTTCCTCTAGGGGAATGTAGTACCGCTGTCTTCCTCCTGCAATCACTGACCCTTTTCCCAAGTCTGCCAAATGGATTCAGAGCAAGGTGATGAAGAGCAAACAGAACCAGGACTCAGCAAACTCATCTTACACAGGGACTAATATCTAACTAAGATATTAACTAATATCACAGATAGGTAACAACTGTAAACCCTGCCACACTGGCCTTAAAAGTGTGGTCAAAAGAAAAAAAATCTTTGATATTTACACAGCCTCTTAGTCAACGCTGTTCGCTAATATGTATTATAAATAGAAAATAGATAGAATAATATTTATGAATTTGCAAAGACTCAGATAGGAAAAGTAAAAACTAAAGATCCTCAGATCGGATGGTGGGATGAATTGGGCTTTTACAGATGTATTTGTTATGAAACAGTGTTTGATTATACACGCATATACTCTTCTTCCCCCATCTTATTCAGTGAAGAGGATGCACACTGCTCATTTAGTGAATGGCTATTCAGTATTTTGTTTTCTTGTCACTTTTTACTCTGAACTTTTTTGACGTATTTATTGTACACTATTCAAACCTTGTTCTGAAGACGGAATGGCTTTTCAATAGCACATGTCAGTATATAGCACTTGAATGCTTCACAAATACCAACTGTGTTATTTTCCTAATATTCTCGTGAGATAAGGCAGCAAAGTTACCTCCATTTTATGGATAGGGAATTGAGGCACATAAAACACATGGCAAAACGTATCTACTAATTTCAGAAACACAATCTGAGACATTTAGGACTTGCTTTTCCAGAATGTTTAGCACTGTACAGCATTTCACATGATCAAATACTAACTTCATTTGCAGCTGTGAGTGCTCAGTATTTCTTCAGGAACCCCAAGTCAGGCACTCGGAAAGCGAGAGGCACAAAAAAAAAGTTCAGAAATAAAAATGCTGGGTTGAAGTGACGTGATCACACAGAAGCTCAGTGGTATAGGCAGAGACGCATCATACTTTCCACTATCATCTTAATTATGAGACCGTCCCTCCTGCAATCCTTGCCCTCTCTACAATCCCAATTTTCAAATATTACAACAAATTGCTGGTTCTTCAGGAAGCATATTTCACTGCATATGCCATATTCAGCCTCAGATCAGACATATTCTGAACAATAAACAACATTAGGGTCCTCTGAAAACAACTGAATATTATCCTGCCATTAAGATCTGAATCATAGCACACATACACCCTACCTCTGAATAAAGCCTGAACAGGCATTTCAAAATATCATTCCTTAAATTTTCCGTGTGCAGCTTAACAATATAAACAGGGATGCAAATATTAATCCTATTAAATACTTTAACACCATTTAAAAAAATTCTAAACTTTAAATCACAAACAAACTGGAAACTCATCGCACGGCATTATACAGACATCCACACGTTAAACAATAGGCCTTTATTTTTGGCACCAATAGGGACATTGCGGTCACTTGAACTAAGGCAGTAAGTGATAGCTTGAATAGGCTGTGATCCTTTTTGAACACCAGCGTTACAGAACGATCAGACATTTTCACAGATATTTGCTGACTACAGAGAAACAGTCACATTTAAAGCCCCAGTTTAGGACAAAATGTTTTCTGGTGGACAGACTTCTCTGCTATTTCTGAGGCTGTGACCTCCATCCCGTTCAATCTCTCTTCCTCTTATCAGCGTGATAAGAACCAGGCCAATTTTCCTCACACTGGCAATCCCAGTCCTCGCTGCCCAGGCCTCCCACCCTGCAACTGGTCTTCATAACAAAAACGCCCCTTCTCCGGTTATCTGCGCTCCCCAGCCTCTACCCCGGCCACTCTCAGCTTTCTGCTT